TTAGACACCTTCTTACATTAATTCAATTACAAACCTTTGTTCCGTTGTGAACTCCATTAACTCCAAGTCATTTTATTCTCATTAAATTCTAGTACCGGTATTCCAGTCTCATGTAGACGAGAAAGATACAGATTTTATAGCGCATTACAATTCAAATGATCGCTTAATGAATATAGGTAAAAAAGGTCAGAAATTACTCGACATGTTTTGGGTTATATGGTGCAATGACTATTTGTTAAATCTTCGAGAAAGTACTCAATCAAAAATTAAAACGGGTCGAGTACAATCACATATTGAGCCACGTTTTGGAAAAATATTATTACTAAATGATGATTTACCTCGCAGAAACTTGGGATAATAGTGAATTTAATCCCAAGTCAGGATGGAAATGTACCCTCAGCAATGGTAAAATTACCTTTGAGGAAAGTGCTTTAACGTCCACCCAAACTATTATTTCCTACTGAGATGTCCACAAGTATCCATTATACATTAACTTGTTAATATACATTAGCCATGAAATTCACGTGCTAACTTCTTGACGGCGGAGCATAGTATTACGGAAACACTACAACATGAACTCACGTGAAAATCGTGCCGCCGAGTAGTTAATTTGAAGGATTTTCACGAAATTAGTGTAGATGTATAATTAAATAAGAAATGAATCATTATGCTTGTGTCAATTGACCAGAAAGACATAAAAAGGAATGCCTTTGTGCTGTTGCAATACGCGCAATAAAAGTTATAAAAATATAAGAAATTTGAATATGCATATCAAAGAAAAGCACACAATCTTAGAATATTGGAACTGTGCAGAAAAAGATTGTCCGTAAAGATTTATTAGAAGGAGTTATCTTAGCAAACATTTGATTTTGAAACTTAAATGTAGAGTTGACTTGGCAAGGGATGCAGCGTTATGTGCAAAAAGAGGAGATAAAAAATGGAGTGAATATCATGAAGACGTGAGCGATGATGAAAGTATTTTCAGTTTGTTAGCGGAATGAGATTGGAATCAAGGCAAACTACGGTTTGCTAACACAATATTGGATTTTGACCTGAATCTTCTGCAAAATGATGGTCATTTCATCAGTAATAATAAAGATGAAGAAAAACAAAAATGGTGTGGATTACCTAATGAAGAAAATGAGATGCAAGTAGGAAGTTACGATGAGGGAGAATGTGAAATAAACGTAAATGATATGGAAAATGAGGAAGGAGATGAAACAAATGATAATAGCTTGGTAGAAGATGACAACGGCAGCGACTTTTACTAAAATAATTGTGAACAAGAATGTGATTCCATTAATACGCAGCAAAGAAATGAAGAAAGTGTTCATTTTATTAATAATAACGTGAGTGCTAGATATGATATAATTAGTGACGTAAGTACAAAAGACGAAAACAACAATGACTATAATAGTGAAATAAGTGATTTCAATTATAGTGATGAAAGTTTTGGAAATGATGTAGTGAATCTAAGTAGTGATTATGAGTCTACACATGTAAACATTGATAACAAATACACAAATGTAGTGCCGTCAGAAGTTACAACAAGGACTCAAACTTTGATATTAACATTTACACAGAAGACCACATACGTAGAACAAAATGAAATTGAGACACATATGAGTGCCGATCAGGAATACCATGATTTTAAGTAACAATTAACTTGGCCGGGACTGTCGCTAAGAACGCGAGAATATTATTGTTTATTTTGTTTTTATCCGCCGGCTTGGCACTAAATTGTTGTTACCACCGGGTATTTGTTGTAACCGCCGGGTTTGTCACCGGCGGTTTTATGTTTAGTTAAATTTTTACAACTTTTCTTATTTTTAAGTGCAATTCGTCGTATATAAAAGGAATTGTAATCTTTTTTGTTAGTTTGTGTTAGTTGATTAAAGGTAAAAGAAGTTATTATGTTGAAAAGGAAATAAATAAAAGTTTATAGGAGGAATAAGAGGGTTTTTTTTAAATTCAACGTAGGAAAAATTGTTACACTCGTTTAGTTTTATAAAAATGCTGCATTTTCTTTTCTCTATAAAAGTTCTCACAGACAGGTGAAAAAATAGATAGATAGATTATTGTATTCCTCAAACGTCTAAGAGTACAACATACATACATGCAAAACAAACGAGTATAAAAACATTGACATAATATACAGCGTAAATAAATCACGTTCAAGATTCCTTAAAGACCCAACATTTGTTTAACAAATGTATACAACAATAAATGGAAATAGAGCAGATAGCTTTGGGTTGGATATTTAACAACCGTATATAATAAAGATTTAACACAATATGCTTTAATTTCTATTTGCATGAAGAGGCAAGTTTGGAAAATTGTTGTATCTTTCTTAGAATACGAGTATAGTAAACATATACAATATTACGATATTAACATTGTCAAATTATAATCATTATGACATCATTTAAGAGAATTGAAATATACATGTTATTGCTAGTATAAAAATTATTATTGCTGCTACTTTGCTATTACACTTTTTTTTCTTTAAATAACTGTTTACGATTTTTGCATGTAGATTCGTGTATTTCTTTTAAAATACAATATTATGTCTTATATAGACTCAATATACATTTTGAGACAATAAAGAAAATTCTACATTATACAGGCTTTTAGTTTACCACCAAACACTGAGAATAGTACATGTAGTAGAACACACTGTCGTACTGAAAGTTTTTATTTAACTATCAAACGCTGAAAATAGTCAAACACGCTGTTATACAGAGAGCTCCTGTTTAATATCGAAGTCTTTCTAGTATATATTCAACAAAATATTTAAGGATGCCACTATCTGTCATGTGTTTTGTATTCCCTTTAAAATTTTATTTTAACATAACAGTTCTTCCTCTTTATATTTTAACATAACAGTTCTTCCTCTATATATTTTAACATAACAGTTCTTCCTCTATATATTTTAACATAACAGTTCTTCCTCTATATATTTTAATATAACAGTTCTAACTTTTTATATTTTAACATAACAGTTCTTCCTCTTTATATTTTAACATAACAGTTCTTCCTCTTTATATTTTAACATAACAGTTCTTCCTCTTTATATTTTAAAGGGATATTCAGGCAAAATAATGACAAAAATATTAAAATGATCTTATGCACTCATATCACGCTAAAATGACTTTTCCTGAAGTTTCAGCATGAATTTTTGTTTTAATTCTATATATTTTGGGTTTGAAGCTTAAATATATCTATATATGTTGAACAAAATTCACACGCCAATGGAATCACCAAATAGTTTTATAACAAGTCAGGTGACTTGAACAAACCCTTGAAGTTACAATAACAGATATTGTGGATATTGTATGATTGAAACAAGCCTAAGTCATTCATTTAACATGTTCTTTAACGTTTCCAGAGTCCACTTTGACAACTATTGTGAAAAGCTAGCGCTCTAACCTGACCCACGCGGGTCAAGTTAGGAAACCACCATTTTATTCTTTATATGGAGAAAAGTTTTGTTTCTTTGACAGTCTGATATATTCATTTTGAGGGCATTTACAGAATAATGAATGAAAAATTCAAAACTAAGAAATGAAAATTTTGCCTGTGTCTCCCTTTAACGAAATATTTACAGGAGCTCCACTGATGTCAAAACGCCTTAAAGCATAACTTTTAAATTTCTCACATAGATCAAGTGAAGAATGGAAAAATCTGCAAAGGATAATAACAAAAATACTCTTTAATCAAATTTAAGTATCGAATGTTTTTGCGATTCTTTGCCCGTTTTGAGGAAAACTTCTAACGGTTTTCATTTCTGGGTAATTATGCACCATAAAAATAAGTATTCTGAAGATAAACAACGGGGTGAGGAAATGATCTGTAATTGTGCACACATGATAGTAGTATTGGTGCAAACCGTCACTCAAATTGATACTCAAATATTTCTCAGTCTTGTCAACCTCAGTGGAGTCCCTTTAAGGACGATACCATTTGCCATGTGCTTTAAATTACCTTTTTCAATATAAAGGCTCTTCTAGTTTAATAAAAATTTAAGGATTACAATATCTGTCATGTAATTCTTGCATAACAGATTGATAAAATATGTCATGTATTTGCTCAAAGGGAATAATTCTGTAACATATTTTCTTTTCTAAATGTTAAAAGTGTTGTTTTTGCAATTTCTAATTATTTGTTTATTCTATTATGTTTGTGTGCGTGCGCGTGTGTGTGTGCGTGCGTGCGTGTGTGTGTGTGCTTGTTCACGTGCGTGTATTTTATTATTAAAATAATTAATATTTTATCACTTCAGAATGACTTTGTTGAGATTTAAGAATAATAACAGATTGGTGGGAAAAATGGAACTGATTTATGTAGGTAATAAAAGCGTTTAGTTATCAATAAAGATGTGATTGTACAAAAGGGGTATACATTCGTCAAAAAAGTATAGCAACTTTAAATTACTAAGGACAAATTAGTCCTTAAAATGTTTTTGTTTTTTGTTTGTCTTTTTTGTTGTTGATTTTGATGTTGTTGTTGTTGTTGTTTCAATACGGATACATTTATATATCGTGTTGCATTCTTTTAAAGTGACGTCTATTGCAGGGTTTTACTACTCATACACACATGTCCACTTGACTTTCCATTCCTAACCTAAAGTTCTAGTGCTTGACATTTGCTGAATAAAACAGACGGGTGTAACAAAAAATATAAATAGTAGGAAATAAATAGAAAAAGTTTCAACTGTTATCAATTACAATCAGGAAGTCAAAGGTAGAGTAAAACATGAAGAAAAATAGGAAGAAAAACATAAAAATCTTGTAAAAAAATAAATTGTCTTAATGAATGGGATTCGATATCTTTTAATCTTTTGTTTGTAAACGGGTTTTGTTTTCTAATTGTTTTTTCTGTTCTGTTTTTTTTTGTCTTTTTCTTTTGTTAAAGTAACAAAAGGGTGTCGTTTCAGACGTTTTTTATCAAAATATTTGTCTTTTAATATCTGCGCATTTTTATTTGGTGTAGATATTGTTTGTATTATATACGTTAACTTCCGTCCGTCAACCGAAATATCCACATATGAATATATATGTTTAGCGCGTTTAGAAGCTAACACAGTCTGTAAAACAATGTCTCCAACAAGATTTACTATTATCTTCGTGTTATTTTGGAATATTGGTGCAGCAGTTGGCTTGTACAGAGCAGAAGATTTGTTAAAGACGGCTGTTAACATTCTCAACCATCTTATTGCAAATAAACATTGTAAGTACATCTTCAAGTTAATCATAGTTTAAGTGGTATTTTTATATTTTATGTAACTTTAAAAACGCTGAAAATAATTATTTTTACCTGGTAAGCTTAGATTGGCAAATAGAACAATTATACATTATACGATGATAGAAACATTGATGTGATGTTGTCGAAGGATATATATCCACAGCTGATAACATGATCTATAATGTTGATATCTTCTCCAAATTTTACTATGTAATACAATGTCTACATCACTTTTTCTATGTTCATTCTAGATTTGAGATGTTTTTTCATTATGATATTTTACATAAAGCACGATTTGCATCTAGCTCATTTTTCAAATACAGAATAATTACTATACAGAAATTTTAAATAGCATGCGTTATCACCTTATCAGTTTACAATATTCTACCTTAATACAGAGTGAACTAAAATGGTCTCAATGTCACATTTGATGATAATTAAAGTGTATTATAACCTGTTTATTCACTTCAAGGTTCTTCATCACATCACGTGTGTCCAGATTCATGGATACGTTTTCAAGAGTCATGTTATCTGTTCCCTAACCAGACATTAATGTTTGACGACGCCGAGGTAAATAATTATTAAATAAACTTCTAATGTAAAAAAAGTCATATTTTTATGTATTAAACTATTGCTTGTGTGTAAGAAGCAACATAAATGATATTTCAGAAATCGCTCTGGAGACAACAAATAATAATTCACATTGTTATCAACATCTGACGTTTCATTGGGTTAAACCCTTCTTTATCAAGGAGTTTGCTGTTTATTTGATGAATATCATTTAATAAATGCAGGTTGTATCTTGTTCATAAAATGAGCAGAAAACGTATTGATAAAGATGGATTTAACCCCTCGAAACGTCGGAGACTCATGACTTTTGTGAAAAAGTATTTGATATAAAATGTATTTAATAATTCATCTGAACGTTACTTTCATGTAATCCACAATTTAAGACAATTTTGTCAAAAATCCTTTTTTCATTTCTCAAAAATTCAAAATTTTGATGTCCTGTTACAATGTCAAAAAAAAAAATAAAACAACTCAATAGTCATATAGGTGAACCATCTATTTCTTCTTGACAATAAGCAAAGTTTTGCGATTAAGTATATCTGTAAGGAAGTCAAAATACTACTTTTTACAGTATACACCTATTTAACAAATATTTCATTTAGGAGATATTTACATACGGTGATAAGCATCTAATATGTTTCAAATTTATTGTTATAACATTATCAAACAATTGTTTGTTCATTCTCATAAAGAACAGAAAGAACCAGTCCTTAGTAATACTGTGATGCAATAATAAATAAAAAAAAGTATGAATGCAAGAATATCACTGTTATAATTCATGCCTCCGATAAAATATGAGTAGAAGTATGATGTTTATAGAATTAAATTTTAATGGAATATAATTTCAGCATGTTTGTATTCAGTACGGATCGAAATTGGTTCACATTGAAAGTGATGTAGAAAATACTTTCCTGAAAAATCACATGAGGAGATTGAAAGGTAAGATAAATAAACATTCCCTGTTCTATATTAGCTTTTGTTTTATTATTATTATTATTATTATCATAAGGTTACAAAAAATACAAATAAATATCAATTTTGAATGTACATGACAAACTTACCTAAAGCTGTAATATATTGTTGACTAAACGTTTATTACAGATGCTAATTATTGGACTGGGCTTACAGCTTCTTCAGATAGGAAATCCTGGATTTGGCACGGTACAAATACACAAGCTATGTTTTTCGATTGGAGCAGTATAAGCCCTAACAATTACGGTGGGGACCAAGATTGTGTCTTTATGCAGAAAGCATTTGACTTCCAGTGGAATGATTTAAGATGTGTCGAAAAGTTTAATCCCGTTTGTGAGAAAAATTTGACACGTTTTGGCTAAAAATGAGACAATTAGAAAAATGCTTATGAACCATGACGCATATCTATAGAACGATCACAATAACACTTACATATATTCTATTATCTTATAACGTTATGCAGATAATTTATAGTACGTACCTGTGTTATTTTGCTGAGACCGTCATAGGGTTAGTGTTAGACACAGGACCTATCAAATAACTTTGAAAGGTTTTCATTCAAGGACCACAATATTGGCATTTTTAGTACTAGAATCTTAAAGAATGATTTGGATCAAATTGTTTGACCAATAATAAAAAGACAAAAGATTTGAAAGATTTTCATTAAAGGACCATAATATCGAATTAAAGTTCAAATTTTGAGCCTATTGATATTTTCTTTTCAGTTCCAGAATCTTAGACATAATTTGGATTAATTGTTTGAAGATGTACAGAAAAGCTTGTTTTAATGAACAGATATTTTACATAATGAAAGAAAATCATTCCAAGTTTCCCAGTTTTAATGTACAGTACGACTCGTATTAATACAAAATTATTGACAATGTGATGTTATTTTTATAAATTATTTTTCCAAAGACAAATCAGATACTTACAAACTATGAAAAATGTCTCGTGTAATGAAACAGCTGCATGTTTTGGTTTATTAGTAATGTTTTAATATGCATAACCGTTTTTTTATCAATATCGTTTAGTTTTATATAAATACTACATTTTCTTTTCTCTCTATAATTTCTCACAGAAAGGTGAAAAAAGTATACTTCTATCACACAGAACCTAAAAATGGTAATTCCATGCATATGTTTGTGTTCAAAATTGACTAACAAGCATATTTTACATTTATAATAAAATCTGTTCCATTTCGAATTTGTTGTATTTTTATTTTATTTTTGCAGTACTGTATACTAGAGGCGTAATTGTTATATGCCCGAAACAATTTCGGGCATATTATGTTATACCCACTGGCGTCTGTCCGTCCGTCTGTCTGTCTGTCCAATACCAACCCAGAGGTACTTATGTGACTTGGAGAACAATGGGTAACAGTACATTCTATTTGATCCAATTCATTCCGTTTTTACTTGTGTGTCTTTTTTTATGCCTTTTGTGACTAAAAATGGCCAAAAAGATCAAAGGAAAAGTCACATAAGTACCATTTTGTGAGTACGTCCGTCTGTCCGCCCGTCCGTTAGCAATTTGGTTTCCGGAGCGTAACTTAAGTTTCATGTGGCCCACAATATTCAAACTTCATAGGATGATTGTCCCTATTGGGTAGAAGACCCCTATTGATTTTGGAGTCACAAGGTCAAAGGTCAAGATCACTATTACCTTAAAACTGAAAACAGTTTCCGGAGCATAACTTTAGTTTCATTTGGCCAACAGTGTTCAAACTTCATAGGATGATTGTCTATATTGGGAAGAAATATCTATTATTATCTATTTTGGGGTCACAAGGTCAAAGGTCAAGGTCATTATTACTTTAAAACTGAAAACAGTTTCCGGAGCATAACTTAAGTTCCATTTGACCCACAATATTCAAACTTCATTGGATGATTGTCCATTTTGGGTAGAACACCCCTATTGATTTTGGAGCCACAAGGTCAAAGTTCAAGGTCACTATTACCTTAAAACTGAAAACAGTTTCCGGAGCATATCTTAAGTTCCATTTGGCCCACAATATTCAAACTTCATAGGAGGATTGCTATTTGAAGGAGGTAATACTTTATTTAATTCTCATGTCTTACAAATGCTTCATCGTTACTTAGAAAAAAAACACTTTCGGGCATATAATGCTCCGCCTAGCGGTGCTCTTGTTGTAGTTGTGATGAACAATGCAAACATGTAAAACATTCAATTCTGGGGAATACGTTTTTATCTGTCTAAGTTAAACATACGAATATACTGTTAATTCAAGACATCGAATATCACATTTTAACTTGTAAAGTACTTTATTGGAACAATTACAGACGGTGATGTCGTATAATAATAATAATAATAATAATAATATATTAAAGAGTGTAACATTTGAAGATATACCATCGTAGAAAACAAATAACATATCTTTTAAATGTGGCCTTCGAAACATTATGTAGAAACACAAACACAAAACATTATAAAACAGTAACAACTTTTCCATTAAAAATTTGCCCTTAGATTTTTTTTACAAATGCTCTTTTTAGAAATCAAATACCAATTAGAAGTTTTCATTTACAAATATTTTAACAAATATACGCATACTACTTACTAACATTATGACAGAATCATGAAGATATTTATTTGATCTATAGATAAACCCTAAATAATGTTAAATTTATCTGTATAACTTATCACCTTAGTATTGACATATAGTGAAACATTTGATAACTTTTATAGTATATGTAGTAACACATTACAAACACTGTTAATAATACAACATTTTAAGGTGTATGGGGTTAAAAATGCTGAAAACAGTCTTATTGTTATTGATAGGATATTGTTGTCCGGTTAGTTCATTTCTAGCGACAGACTCGCAGAACCCTGATGATATACAATACCTACACTTACTGTTGTCAGACGAGAAAGCTGAAAGAATGAGACTTCAAACCCAGGTAGACAAAATGGCGTCCGCCCTACAGACTGTACAGGAACAGATGGAGACAAATCATCAATGCGGTATTATTGTAAATTCTAATTAGGATTTATGTTAACATTAATGTATTCTTAGTACTATGTTTTAGTTTAGATAGTCTAACAATAAAATGTGATCATTTTACTTTTGGGGTGTCCGTGGCCGAGTGGTTCAGGTCATTGACTTCAAACCACTTGCTCCTCACCGCTGTGGGTTCGAATCCCGACAGGGACAATGAACTCTTTCATGTGAGGAATGTATCCAGCTAGCTTACGGAACGTCGGTGGTTCTACTCATGTGCCCGTTTGTGCCTGAAATAATGCACGGAAGGGCACCTGAGTTCTTCCTCAACCAGTAAAGCTGGGACGTCGCCATTTGACCTACACTGTGTCGGTGTGACGTAAACCCAAAACAAACACTTTACTTTTCTTCAACATTTTCCTGTTCTAGATGTAACTGTTGTCTAAGTTTAGTTTGTTATACCGAAAATATTGTAATATGTCTAATGTGTTAAAGTACATTCCTATTAAATATAGAATTACAACATGTACCAAGACATATTTTCTCGTATTTCAGATTGTTCAAATAAAACACCAATCATAGCATTCAGAACTGAACTTAGTAAAGACCTCGGAACTGTATCTAGTAACCATGTTGTTATATTTGATGAAGTGGATCTTAATCTAGGTAATGCCTACGATCCACGTCATGGTATATTCACAGCACCAGTTAACGGAACGTACCTTTTTTCAATGGCACTAGGTAATCCGACAGGGCACAGTGGTGCATTTTTCATGAAACAGAACAGTCAAACGATCGAATACGCCATTGCTGGACACACAACTGGGTGGAATATGGGTGGTGTCACGACTGTTGCTGATCTAACAGTCGGCGATGACGTCTGGATTGAAGGGGAGGGCTATATTTCAGGCGCATACGCCCATATTAGATACCATACGGGATTTTCTGGAACTTTAATTCATGAGTATTAAAGTTTGAGATTTCAAATATAAAATTGCAAAATTCATGTACATTACCACTAAAGTAAACTCGCAATATGCTTGAAAGAAAAGCGTATTTGCTGTATCTTTTGGACTAAATATATATGTCGCAGGAATCAGATTAATAAAGACAAGAATTTTGTACAAGCAATATTGTAGTTCAGTGATCCTTGATTTATACATAGCGATCCATATAAAATGTATGGGCTATTGATATACGCTGTTAATACCATATTTGCACTAAAATTTCAAGAATAACAAAAGCGTGATGACATCTTATAACTAAACGATATTTTTACCACCCCGTAAATAAATTTCCATCAAAACATCGGCACAATATGACTAAAGTTTAGATCTACATTTTTATTTCATGTAGATCTGATAACAACCTTAATTATATGTTTCGCCTACTTTATAATTCGGATTTCCACGAGAAAGGTTATTTAATTTCAAGCGTGTTTTGACAATGCACTTTTTTTCTAGCCTCTACAACCATATGAAATTTCAATGAGATGCCATTGATAGTTTAGAAAGTATACACCGAACAAGCATAATGTACTTAAGATAGGTAATTGTAATATAAAAGTTATGGTTCTTGCATTGGACACTGCACTTCATCTATATGGTCTCTATAACTATGCAATCTGATTAAAATCAGCTGTGATAAATAACGCTAGTATGTGAAATATGAAGACTATGTGATGAATAATATTCAAGATAATCAGCGGAAACCATTCTGATATTTAAGGCCCCTGTGACATTGACCTTTGACCCCAAAATCAATAGGGGTCATCTACTAGTTGTGAACCATCAGTATATGAAATATGAAGACTTTGTGATGAATAGTTTTAAAGATAATCTGCGAAAACCATTCCGACAATTAAGGCCCCTGTGACCTTGACCTTTAACCTAGTGACCCCAAAATCAATAGGGGTCATCTACTAGTTATGACCAATCAGTATGTGAAATATGAAGACTTTGTGAAGAATAGTTTTCAAGACAATCAGCAAAAATCATGTGGTCTACAGACGGACAGACCAACCGACCGACTGAACAATATGCCCCCTCTTCTTTTTTGGGGGGGGGGGGATAACAAGATGTTTGTAAAACATATATGCCCCCTATCGTCAACTAATAAGTCGGCCAGGTTATTGTGACCAAAAATCAATAAAGGTTATCTACTGGTCAGGAAAGTCTCTAGATCATTGTGACCGTAAAGCTTGTGTGCAGCAATTCTATCACAAATCATATCAAATTCACCTCTTTAATGAAAGCCAATTTGTAGTTTTATATTAGACCTTGAAATGTGAATACCAAAAGTATTTTTAGTTTAATAAAAATATCAACCAAGGCAACTTGAGTTGTTGAGTTTACCGATTGCAAACTGTTTTAATGTACAAGGTCAATGTGACTTTGACCTTTAAATCAATAGGGGTTATCTACTGGCTAATACCATGTCTCTATACAGTTGAGGGCTAACAGTCCATGGGTTGTCAAGTTATTGATCGGAAATCATTTTTATCTACAATGTTAATATGACCTTGACCCCTTGTCACCAAAATCAATAGGGGTCATCAACTAGCCAAGACCAATGCATCTATGCAGTAAGAGGGCTAAGGGCCCATGGGCTGTCATTATATTGATTGGAATCCCTTTTTACCTACAAAGTCAATGTGAACTTGACCTCTGACATCAAAATTGGCCTAGACCAATGCACCTATGCAATTTGAGGGCCAGGGGTCCATGGGTTGTCAAGTTATTGATTGGAAACCATTTTTAGCTACAAGGTCAATATGTCCATGACCTTTGACCTTGAACCCAAAATCAAAAGGGGTCATCTACTTGCCAAGACCAATCGCCATACCAAGTTTAAAGTTCCTAGGCCAAAGCATTTTTTATTCATTGATCGGAAACCGTTTTTACCTTCAAGGTCAATGTGACCTTGACCTTTGTGACCCCAAAATCAATGGGGGTCATCTATTGGTCATGAACAATCACCATGACAAGTTTGAAGTTCTAGGGCCAAAGCGTTCTTAGTTATTGAAAAGAAACCGTTTTAACCTACAAGGTCAATAAGACCTTGACCCCTTGACCCAAACTCAATAGGGGTCATATTATCGCCAAGTCCAATCTCCATACCAAGGTTGAAGTTCCTATGCCTAAGCATTCTTTAGCTATTAATAGGAAACCGTTTACACCTACAAGGTCAATTTGACCTTGACCTTTGACCCAAAATCAGTAGGGGTCAACTGCTTGCCATGACCAATCCCCATACCAAGTTTGAAGTTCCTGGGCTTAAGCATTATTTATTGATAAGAAGCCGTATTTACCTACAAGGTCAATGTGACCTTGACCTTTGACCTCAAAATCAACAGGGATCATCTACTGATTATAAACAATCTGCATACCAAGTTTGAAGTTCTTAGGCTTAAAGGTTCTTTAGTTATTGATCGGAAACCATTTGGTCACCGAAAATGCAAAGCATTATACCCCCCACTTCTTTGAAGGGGTGCATAATAACAAATTCAATAATTTGTCCTTGGATTTTTAGATCAGTAAAGGTCAAGCTAAAATTAAATCCAACTGCTTTTAGAGTTGTTGTGTTAAAGTATAAAAACTACCCATTTATGAATAACAAAGATCTAGCCCATTTTAGTAAATTTTATTGAGTTATGCACTTAAAAATTGAAATTTAGAAAAAAATTTGACATGAGGAGTAATGTTAGACACTAAACATCTCAACTTTAAGAATTGCAATTTAGAGGACAAAATCTTATTACAGTTTATTTCTTGTCAGTTAAAAACCAAGTAAGATCAAAATGCATATTGCTTCCACTTAATACATATGCTAGTATGTAGTATGTTTGGTTACCTTTTTAAAAGATACATAACTGATAAGTGAAAATAAAGAAATATTTATTTTTAATGACTTTATTTACATTTTAATTCACAATAAGTACAATGATAACTGTGAAATGAATGACAATTAATTAGGATTGCACTAACCCATACATCACAGACTGTACATAGAATACTTACATCTAATACATCATAAAATAATATCTCAATGAGGGTATTTTCTGTTTTTAGATCCAGTTATCATTACCTTTGTAAGGAAAGATTTAAGCTAAACTTGAAGAAAGTCATAAATACACATAAAACACACATTAAATTGTCTAACATTTAAACTTGAAGGGTCACGTTGACCTTTAGTCGGCACAGAAATAGCATGAGTTCTGTAAGTCACCTTGTTCTGCCAAGTTTGATAATATTACTTCAGAGGGTTTAGACTTTGAAATAGTCTGACATTTGACCTACAGGAATGACTTTGACCCAGCAAATAAACATGTGCACAACGTCTTGTTAAGTCAACATTTAAGTCAAGTTTAAAGGAAATCCTTCAAAGAAAATAAAATTTATAGAACAGACAGGACTTAAATGGAACCCCAAGACAAATTGATGTGATTCCAGTAAAGTAAAACCTTTTCCACATAATGTGGAGAGGGGCAGTAAATTAAGTAAGACTCTTTATACATTATAAGGGTGGGGGTAAAAAACAACTTGTTATACAATATAATAGCTCATGCTCCCATATCCTCAAGTAAATATAAAACTTGTTTTTCATGGTTTAACAATTCATTACTGTGCATATATTTAGCTACTGTCTGTTCAAAATCAAAATTACAAGGAAAACACAGGAGAATTTTTATCTTGAAGGATATTTCAATATTGGCAAACACAAGAGCGATCAGTAATCACATGTGTCGCCTCATAATTGGCCAATTTCATGTTGGGACAAATTTTGTGACAGACGGACAGACAGACGGACAGTGCACAACTAGACTTGGTACTGATCAATCATGTAAAGTTTGGATAAAATTGCACCAGTAGCTTATGAGGAGTAGTCCGGACAAGCTTTTGCGTATCTGGCAACACACAGAAAAAACACCTTTTTATCAAAGGGCCATAACTCAGCCCAAAATCATTCAACCGGAAAACCCGTGCAATATGCGCAAGGACTTGAGCTACAGATCAATCCTGTAAAGTTTCATTGAAATTGCATAAGTGGTATAAGAGAAGTAGTTCGGACAAACTTTAAAAATAAAAATTATTAAAGGGCCATAACTCTGACAAAAATCATTGAACCGGAAAATGCTGACAATATGCTCAACTAGACTTGATACTGATCATTCCTGTAAAGTTTGGATGAAATTGCACCAGTAGTTTATGAGGAGTAATCCGGACAAGCTATTGTGTATCTGGCAACACACAGAAAAAAACACCTTTTTATCAAAGGGCCATAACTCGGCCAAAAATCATTCAACCGGAAAACCCTTGCAATATACGCAAGGACTTGAGCTACAGATCAATCCTGTAAAGTTTCATTGAAATTGCATTAGTGGTATAAGAGAAGTAGTCCGGACAAACTTTAAAATTAAAAATTATTAAAGGGCCATAACTCTGACAAAAATCATTGAACCGGAAAATGCTGACAATATGCACAACTAGACTTGATACTGATCATTCCTGTAAAGTTTGGATGAAATTGCACCAGTAGTTTATGAGGGGTAGTCCGGACAAGTTTTGTGACGGACGGACGGACAGACAGACATACGGACAGACAGACGACGGAGAAGTGATCCCTATATGTCGCCACTACTCCGTAGAGGCGACACAAAAATCATATCTATAACAGCTGATGAGGGATGAGGAGATTTTGATTATAAAGCTGTTTAACTACAACAACAGAAAAATTATATCTCATCAATAATGCCAGGTACTTTACATTCATGGAATTTAAAATGATATAATATCTTAATTGAAAAAATAAGTACATTTAAATTTTTATCTAAATGTTGAACATTTTTTCATCTCAATATAAAAGTAAGTTGGGTAAAACAAACAAGGACTATCCAAAATTAGAATTTGTTCTATGAATGTTAAGAGATCATGTAATGTAAACTAGTAGACATATAATTCTGGATATTGAATGTCAAACACTGTAGCCGGTTTATCAGTTGACCGTCTCATTGTCCCGGGACTGTCAGAGCCTTTAGATACCATTGATAATATCTCATTTAACTTGTTATGGAAATGATTTGACTGAAATAAAATAAAATTTCCGTATTTAAATCTAAACTAGAACTATCACTAAATGTGATTAATACCCCCACAAGTCTGCTTCGGAAATGAGGATGTTACTAGTAACAGAATACCTTGTAAAAGAATTGAAACATAGAGTTATGGTTGTGGGTAATTAAAGATAATTGTGGTTCATGTATGTTGCATTTCCTTTCAATGTGGTTGGCCATTGATGAAGTTTAATTGAATTACTCTGTAATAAGTCCAGAAAGACAAAGAAAAAGAACAAAGGGCAATAACTCTATAAATACTGAAGATAAAGTTATAGTTCTTGTGCACTGCACTTCCTCTTATTGTGCTTGACCATTGTATGAAGTTGTTTTAAATTCCAACCAGTATGTTTTAAGTTATGCTCCAGACAAGGAAAAGTATCAAAGGGCAGTAACTCTGTATTTTGTCAAAATGGAGTTATGGCTCTTGTGCACTGCACTTCCTTTGAATGTCCTTGACAACTGTATGAAGTTGTACTGAATTCCAAACAGTAGTTTTCAAGTTATGCTCTGGACAAGGAAAAGTAACAAATGGCAATAACTCTGTAATTAGTCAAGATGGAGTTATGGTTCTTGTGCACTGCACTTCCCCTTAATGTGCTTGACCATTGTATGAAGTTGTTTTGAATTCCAACCAGTAGTTTTCAAGTCATGCTCTGGACAAGGAAAAGTAACAAAGGGCAGTAACTCTGTAATTAGTCAAGATGGAGTCATGGTTCTTATGCACTGCACTTCCTCTCAATGTGCTTGACCATTGTATGAAGTTATAATGAATTCCAACAATAAGTCTTCAAGTTATGGTCCGGACAAAAGAAAGCAATGGAAAAGTAACAAAGGGCAATAACTCTGTTATAAGTCAAGATGGAGTTATGGTTCTTGTGCAATGCACTTCCCCTTAATGTGCTTGACCATTGTATGAAGTTGTTTTGAATTCCAACCAGTAGTTTTAAAGTCATGCTCTGGACAAGGAAAAGAAACAAAGGGCAGTAACTCTGTAATAAGTCAAAATGGAGTTATGGTTCTTGTGCACTGCACTTCCTCTCAATGTGCTGGACCATTGTATGAAGTTATAATGAATTCCAACAATTAGTCTTCAAGTTATGGTCCGGACAAAAGAAAGCAATGGAAAAGTAATAAAGGGCAATAACTCTGTAATTACTTTAGATAGAGTTATGGTTCTTATGCACTGCACTTCCTCTCAATGTGCTTGACCATTGTATGTAGTAATATTGAATTCCAACCATTAGTCTTTAAGTTATGCTCCGGACAAAAAAAAGAAGGCAATTGAAAAGCAACAAAGGGCAATAACTCTGTAATTACTTCAGATAGAGTTATGGTTCTTGTGCACTGCACTTCCCCTTATTGTGTTTGACAATTGTATGAAGTTGTTTTGAATTCCAACCAGTAGTTTTCAAGTTATGCCACGGACAAGGAAAAGTAACAAAGGGCAATAACTCTGTAATTAGTCAAGATAGAGTTATGTTTCTTACGCACTGCACATCCTCTCAATGTGCTTGACCATTGTATGTAGTTATATTGAATTCCAACCATTAGTCTTCAAGATATGCTCCGGACAAGGAAAATGCAACGGACAAAAAAAAAAAGCAATGGAAAAGCAATAAAGGGCAATAACTCTGTAATTACTTAAGATAGAGTTATGGTTCTTGTGCACTGCACTTCCCCTTATTGTGTTTGACAATTGTATGAAGTTGTTTTGAATTCCAACCAGTACTTTTCAAGTTATGCCCCGGACAAGGAAAAGTAACAAAGGGCAATAACTCTGTAATTAGTCAAGATAGAGTTATGGTTCTTATGCACTGCACTTCCTCTCAATGTGCTTGACCATTGTATGTAGTTATATTGAATTCCAACCATTAGTTTTCAAGTTATGATCCGGACAAGGAAAATGCAACGGACGTCTGGACCGACCGACCGACCGACCACCGGGTGACTCCTATATACCCCCCCAAACTTCGTTTTTGGGGGTATAATTAACATTTTATTTACATTTTCTACAAGAACCATAATAAGAAAGTTAGTTCAATATAAAATAGTTCTATACTACATAATCTATCATTGTAAAACAATATAAGCCTGTAAATTACAAAGCTGTTTGAGGAAACAGTAATAAAACTTAAATTTGGAAAAAGTATTAGTATGTTTAAAACAAATATATAACCAATATATGGTCCCACTGATAAAATTTGTTCCATACTATAATATTATAATCCCTACTTAAATGTGCCTAAAATGTATGTGAGTTTTTCTTGTCTAATAAAATATACATCACACAATAAATCAAATATCACAAATAAAATAATCTATTAAAAATATTGAGGAAGAAAAAACTGATGACTCAAATATATGATCTATAATGACTTTAAAGCAAGGAGTATAAAACGTTCTGTATGTTGTCAAATGAGATAAACATTTTACCAAAGTTTTTGACAATAAACATGCTTCAAGTTGATTATATTTGCCTAATTAAGCAGGGAGTAATGTATTGATCTACCAATAGTAAGAAAACATTTTCATAACATAAACACAGTATAGCATCTATTGTGGAAGTAAATGCCCTAATAATAGGCTTTCTTATAAAGTTAAAGTCAACTTACTTTGTACCAGGTTAAAACAACAGTTGATCAACTTTATGTTCTTTCTGTCATTGATATATATAAAATGTAATTATAAATATTTAAGTAAAAAGTTTATATTTTCAGTGATTGAAGCTATACCTTGGCTTCAGATCTTGCAACAATTTCTTCAAAAGGTGCTGTACGAAATGTTTTAATAATCTCATGTCTCCTTCTCTCCTCCTCCTCTCTTGTCACAGACATGTCTTCACCTGTAAATACATATAATACATATAAATCACTATAAAGATAACACAGACATATCTTCACATGTAAATACATATAAATCACTTTATATATAACACAGACATATCTTCACATGTAAATACATATAAATCACTTTATATATAACACAGACATATCTTCACATGTAAATACATATAAATCACTTTATATATTAATGTGTCTGACAGGTTATGTAACTCTGTATAAACATGTCTGATAGGTTATATAACTGTATAAATAAGTCTGATAGGTTTTTAACTCTGTATAAAAATGTCTAACAGGTTATATAACTCTGTAAAAAATTTTGTCTTACAGGTTATATAACTCTGTATAAACATGTCTGATATATTATATAACTCTGTATAAACATGTCTAACACGTTATATAACTCTGTATAAAGATAACTGACAGGATATATAACGCTGTATAAACATGTCTGACAGGTTATATAACTCTGTTTAAAGAGTCTAACAGGTTATAAAACTCTGTATAAACATATCTAACAGGTTATATAACTCTGTATGAACATGTCTGACAGGTTATATAACTCTGTTTAAAGATGTATGACAGGTTATATATCTCTGTATAAAGATATCTGACAGGTTATATAACACTGTATATAACTCTGTAAAAATGACTGTAAGCTTATATAGCCAGAGCAGTTATATATAATATAGCAGCATCACTTTATAACATTAAATCATCAGGTGACAGCAGCCATGTATATAGATTATATAAATGTCATGATTACTCAATGAAAAGCAATGTTACAAACATGCAATATTATACTCATATAATATGTAATACATCATACATCTACCTAAATGAATGACACATGTACATACCAACATGTAACTACTATCATTTTCTATGTTGATATGGTTTTTTTAATCACATTGAACAAATAAATGTTTTACCAAGTCCATAATAAGAGATAAACAATACTATCTGTTACCAAATGGAGTTGCCCTAGATAAAAAGTCAAGTGTAACACATGATTTCTGTACTGTACTTGTGTCTTAGGTTTTCCCATTTTATCTCTGGTGGTCGTTTTGCTCATTGGAGCACTGCCTACGGACATTCCTATACACTTTTATCACTGTAGGCCGAACAATTTAGGAGGAGATCTTCTTTAAGTGAAATATAAAATATTTACTACAGACAAAGGTTATCACAATAGCTCACCATGAGCACTTTTTACTTTGTAAGCTAAAAATGTTATGTACAGATTTAACAAGGATGTATATGTATTTGAGAAATGCAATGAAACATGAAGATCAATATCATATATCAGATCACTGGTATTATCTTGATACAATCTTAGCAGTCAGACCAAAGGGTGCAAGTTGAAAATTTGGAAAAACCCGAAAACTGTAATTCATAATATTTTTCCTACATAATCTAATAGTAAAACATGATTAAATTTGTCACAACTAGAACTGCCACTGTCATGGTGTGAATACCCTCGCATACCACATTGTCAGAATCAACAGTGGCCATTTAGAGGTCAAAGGACAACGTCGCTCCAAATCTGAGGTTACTAAGCCAGTGCTATGTATTCTACATGCTTCAAATGTGAAAATGTCAAAATCAATAAACTGCGGACAAGCATTCTTAAGCAACTGAGGGGGAAAGCTTTTTTAGTCGACCTTTGACCTAGTGACCCTCAAAATCAATAGGGGTCACCTTATAGTCATGATCAACCTCCATGCCAAATATGAAGACTTAGGGTCAAAGGAATATTAAGTTAATGGGTGGACAATCTTTTTGAAGTCAAAGTCAATGTGACCTTGATCTTAGACCCAGTGACCTTAACATAAATAGGGGTCACCTACTAATCATGACTAACCTCCGTGCCAAATATGAAGACTGTGGGTCAAAGGAATCTTAAGTTATTGAGTGGACAAGCTTTTTAAGTCAAGGCCCCTATGACCTTGACCTTTGACCCAGTGTAATAAAAATAAATAGGGGTCATCTACTTATCATGACTTACCTCCATGCCAAATATGAAGACTGTGGGTCAAAGGTTTCTGAAGTTATTGGGCTGACAAACTATTTGAAGTCAAGGTCCCTGTGACCTTGACCTTTGACCCAGTGACCTCAGAATCAAAAGGGGTCATCTACTTATCATGACTAACCTCCATGCCAAATATGAAGACTGTGGGTCAAAAGAATCTTAAGTTATTGGGCAGACAAGTTTTTATAGTCAAGCCCCTGTGACCTTGACCTATGAACCAGTCAACTTAAAATCAATAGGGGTTATCTACTAATCATGACTTATCTCCATGCCAAATATGAAGACTGTGGATCAAAAGTTACTTAATTTATTGGGCGGAAAAACCTTTTAAAGTCAAAGTCCCTGTGACCTTGACCTTTGACCCGGTGACCTCAAAATCAATAAGGGCCATCTACTAATCATTGCTAACCTCCATGCAAAATATGAAACTGTGGGTCCAAGGAATCTTAAGTTATTGGGCAGACAAGCTTTTTGAAGTCAAGGCCCCTGTGACCTTGACCTTTGACCTGGTGGCCTCAAAATCAAAAGGGGTCATCTAATCGTCATAACTAACCTCCATGCCAAATATGAAGACAGTGGGTCAAAGGAATCTTAAGTTATTGGACGGACAATCTTTCTGAAGTCAAGGCCCCTGTGACCTTGACCTTTGACCTTGTGGCCTCAAAATCAATAGGGGTCATCTACTTGTCATGACTAACCTCCATGCCAAATATGAAGACTGTGGGTCAAAGGAATCTTAAGTAATTGAGCGGACAAGCTTTATTAGTCAAGGCCCCTGTGACCTTGACCTTTGACCCAGTGTAATAAAAAAAATAGGGGTCATCTTCTTATCATGACTAACCTTCATGCCAAATATGAAAACTGTGGGTCAAAAGAATCTTTAGTTATTGGGCGGACAAGCTTTTAGAAGTCAAAGTCCATGTGACCTTGACCTTTGACATAGTGACCTCAAAATCTATAGGGGTCATCTTCTTGTCAGGACACACCTCCATGCCAAATATGAAGACTGTGGGTCAAAGGAATCTTAAGTTATTGGGCGGACAAGCTTTTTAAGTCAAGGCCCCTGTGACCTTAACCTTTGACCTGGCAACATCAAAATCAATGGGGGTCATCTACTCGTCATGACTAACCTCCATGCCAAATATGAAGACTGTGGGTCAAAGGAATCTAAAGTTATTGGATGGACAATCTTTTTGAAGTCAAGGCCCCTGTGACCTTGACCTTTGACCTCAAAATCGATAGGGGTCATCTTCTCATCATGACTAGCCTCCATGCCAAATATGAAGACTGTGGGTCAAAGGAATCTTAAGTTATTGGGCGGACAAGCTTGTTGCTGTCAAGGCACATGTGACCTTGACCTTTGACCTGGCGACCTCAAAATCAATAGGGGTCATCTACTCGTCATTAATAACCTCCATGCCAAATATGAAGACTGTGGGTCAAAGGAATCTTGAGTTATTGGGCGGACAAGCTTTTTGAAGTCAAGGCCCCTGTGACCTTGACCTTTGACTTGGTGACCTAAAAATCAAAAGGGGTCATCTACTTGTCATGACTGACCTCCATGCCAAATATGAAGACTGTGGGTCAAAGGAATCTTAAGTTATTATTTGGACGGACAAGCTTTTTGAAGTCAAGGCCCCTGTGACCTTGACCTTTGACCTGGCGACTTCAAAATCGATAGGGGTCATCTACTCGTCATGACTTACCGCCATGCCAAATATGAAGACTGTGGGTCAAAGGAATCTTAAGTTATTTGGCAGACAAGTTTTTTGCAGTGAATGCCCATGTGACCTTGACCTTTGACCTTGTGACCTCAAAATCAATAGGGGTCATCTACTCGTCATTACTAACCTCCATGCCAAATATGAAGACTGTGGGTCAAAGGAATCTTGAGTTATTAGGCGGACAAGCTTTTTGAAGTCAAGGCCCCTGTGACCTTGACCTTTGACCTGGTGCCCTAAAAATCAAAAGGGGTCATCTACTTGTCATGACTGACCTCCATGCCAAATATGAAGACTGTGGGTCAAAGGAATCTTAAGTTATTGGGCGGACAAGCTTTTTGAAGTCAAAGCCCCTGTGACCTTTGACCTGGCAACCTCAAAATCAATAGGGGTCATATACTCGTCATGACTTACCTCCATGCTATATATGAAAACTGTGGGTCAAAGGAATCTCAAGATATTGGGCGGACAAGAAAAAACCGACGGACGCCAGACGGCCGGACAGCCGGACGGACAAGCTGATTCCAGTATACCCCCCTTACAACTTTGTTGTGCGGGGGTATAAAAACCTGAGATCCAGACATATGCCTGAAAACTTGAACCCATGCATTAATCTATTAACAACTGTCAATTTCTGCCATTTTAAATCATGTTAACCAATTTATATGTGAAGCACAAATTAAAGTGTCTCATTTTCTCTTCAATGAAAATTTATTTAATGCGACAATTTGACCTCAATGTATTTCTGCCAATTGTTTGCATACTGTACTGGTTTGCCATTTTGCAATAGTAAAACACAATGGTTAGGTCATATCTTTGTAACCTGAAACCAATCAAATGTGTTATTTTACTAGACTGGAACTATTCCATAACTGATCAATAAATCTAAAGATAAAATCCTGTTCAGGACTCAAGTTTGGTTAATTAATTCATGATTCATGTGAGAGATATAATAATTTATATAACACAGCTGGATTAACTGAATTAAACCTTGATTTGTCTGCATAAAATTATTTTGCACAGTTAAGTATGGTATTCAGTTGTAATTTTTATAAAGTTAAATTCAATTCAATCAATAACTTCTGCACTAAATAAACAACTATTTATGCATTTGTATACAAACATTTTCTAAAGACTTTACAGTGACCTTCAGCATTTATTATTATTATTATTTTGTGATGTTTCAAACTAAGTATTTCAGTATGTTTTATTCTGGAAAAGTGCATCATACCACCGTTTTTAAAACAGCGTCCCGAGAACTATTTATAGCGTGTCAGTGACGTTCATTTCTAAAATCAAAAGATCGGGAAACAAATCATCTGCTTAAGTAATTTACATATTGAGGACCGGTAGATAAGAGGTATCAAGAGGTTTTCTTATTGTTTATGTATTTTATCAAATGGAAATTTTCATTTTCCACCTAAATTTTTTTGATTTGACAATTATATGAAACAATTTCTCTAAAACATCATATTCAACTTTTAGAAAAGCTGAAGGCCGCTTTAAAGGTTTATACATGTCTTATAGTAATATAACCCTTACCCTGCTGGAACTGGAGTGATTAGAATATATCACAATATATCATGTACAACCAGGTCAGCCTAGAATTAACCCTCACCATTACACTTATACAGTAGTTTAGGGTTAAAATCTCCTCTAAGCTTTGTTAAATACAACCTAAGGTGCCATTTGATTCTATATTTGAATCCAATATTCGATATTTGGATTCTTATACAAATTGGGGTTTAAACAAATTTAGTGTTTTCAATATGAAGAATATAAACATACATTATATAGATCTAGAAAATTTCGAGTATAAAGAGTAAAGGTTTATAGATTAGATAGTATTTATTTAGGTTAAAACACTTTAACATTTAAATATTTCAAACAGATAAATGTGAGACGGCTGTCTGATCACGTTACTTTACCTGCTATAAAAAAAATGAACAACAACTATCGGGGAAAATTTGGATTAGTTTAAACATAGCCATGGAGTTGGAGACTATAGTACTCAATGCAAACTGTAGTGTACATTCAGAGGGACAGTTGAAATATTACTGTGAAGATCATGACACTGTTATATGTGACGCCTGCTGTCATACTGAACACAAGTAATCCTTTATTTATTTCAATATTTCTTCTTATTACATGTATTTGCAGAGTCAAGATTAGAACCAGTTCGAAACTTAGTATCTATATTATTAAAAAGCAGTCAATGCAAAACAAATTTCTGCATTATACAGCTTACAAAGAAGTAATATGTAACAACTTGTTCCTGAATGGAAGAATCAGTGGCTCTGGAGAAGTGCCTATAAACATGTAATGTTCCATCAATATCACAACAGAAAACTGATTGTCACTCAGACTGAAGTATCATACATGAATAGTCAATTAATGTTAAACTGAGAGTATCCCAGCCAGACCAGGCTCATTATAATCGCCAGTCAGTTGAAAAAAGAAATTGATACTAGCCACAGTGTCAAAACTTTCAAACATCTAAATAATGGTATGCCCTCTGCAATATGCGAGATAACTAACATTGAGAAGTGTTTGTTTATTTGTGTGCATGCTGTAAATAATATAACTTATGAATTGTACAGTGTTTAGTTCAGTTGAGATGACTTGTTGTCTCCTTCATACACTTTTACTGATATTAATTTTACTGTTATATCACTTAAAATATTTTGTTTCTTCATTGCTAAATGCAATATTATAAAATGTTACTCTTCAAAAGTAAATATTTAAAAATTTCAGTAAATGCCTGAAAATAGTTGACTTAAACAACGCATCACAAGGAGTCAAGAATCACCAACAACACAAAATCAAACAGGCCAGCTTGAATAATCTAAAAGATGACCTTGAAAAACTTAAGGTAACAAGAAACGATGACAATAGAAGGATTGAAGAGGAAAAACGTCAAATCAGAACGAAAATGCAAAACGCGGCTTCAAAGTTAAAAAATAAGTTGGACAACTTATTAAAAACTAGAACTGCCACTATCATGGCGTGAATACCCCCGCATACCACTTTGTCAGAATCAACAGTGGCCATTTAGAGCTCAAGGACAACCTCCCTGCCAAATCTGAGGTTACTAAGCCAGTGCATTGCTAAGTTATGTATTCTACATGCTTCAAATGTGAAAATGTCAAAATCAATACACTGCGGACAGGCATTCTTTAGCAATTGAGAAGAAAAGCTTTTTTTGTCAAGGTCCCTGTGACCTTGACCTTTGACCCAGTGACCTCAAAATCAATAGGGGTCACCTTATGGTCATGATCAACATCCATGCCAAATATGAAGACTGTGGGTCAAAGGAATCTTAAGTTAATGGGTAGACAAACTTTTTGAAGTCAAAGTCCCTGTGACCTTGACCTTTGATCCAGTGACCTCAAAATCAAAAGGGGTCATCTACTAATCATGACTAACCTCCATTCAAAATATGAAGACTGTGGGTCAAAGGAATCTAAAGTTATTGGACAGACAAGCTTTTTATGGTCAAGGCCCCTGTGACCTTGACCTTTGACCTGGTGACCGCAAAGTCAATAGGGGTCATCTACTAATCATGACTAACCTCCATGCCAAATATGAAGACTGTGGGTCAAAGCAATCTTAAGTTATTGGGCAGACAAGCTTTTTTTAGTCAAAGCCCCTGTGACCTTGACCTTTGACCTGGTGACCTCAAAATCAATAGGGGTAATCTACTAATCATGACTAACCTCCATGCCAAATATGAAGACTGTGGGTCAAAGGAATCTTAAGTTATTGAGCGGACAAGCTTTTTTAAGTCACAGCCCCTGTGACCTTGACCTTTGACCTGATGACCTCAAAGTCAATAGGGGTCATCTTCTAATCATGACTAACCTCCATGCCAAATATGAAGACTGTGGGTCGAAGGAATCTTAAGTTATTGAGCGGACAAGCTTTTTGAAGTCACGGCCCCTGTGACCTTGACCTTTGACCTGGTGACCTCAAAATCAATAGGGGTAATCTACTAATCATGACTAACCTCCATGCCAAATATGAAGACTGTAGGTCAAAGGAATCTTAAGTTATTGGGCGGACAAGCTTTTTGAAGTCAAGGCCCCTGTGACCTTGACCTTTGACCTGGTGACCTCAAAATCAATAGGGGTCATCTACTAATCATGACTAACCTCCATGCCAAATATGAAGACTAAGGGTCAAAGGAATCTTAAGTTATTGGGCGGACAAGAAAAAACCGACGGACGGACGGCCGGACAGCCGGACGGACGGACAGACGGACGGACGGACGGACAACCTGATTCCAGTATACCCCCCTTACAACTTTGTTGTGCGGGGGTATAACAAGTGACACTGAACTGGAGAGAAAGTTTAGTGAGTTTAAGAATGATATAGAGAGTGATATTAGTGTACTTGAAGCTACATTAACAAAAGTAAATCAATCTATTGACTGTCTACAGCAGGACGATGACAAAGATGTTTTCATTGAAATGAAGACAAATAAACAGATACAGCAAGAAGCAAAGAAAACAATAAAGAGTATATCCAGAAATACCAGAAAAGAATCTTTGAATTTTGCATTTGACCCTACATTAGAAAAACTAGCATCCAAGATTAAGCTAGGAAATCTAACATTTGAGAATGACAATCTTCCAGCCAAACAGAGACTGTTTCATGAATCATGTGAATATGATGTAACATTACAGGGGACATATGATGTAAATATCAATAAAGATTCTGTATGGTGTCATATCTTAGATTCTTGTCTCCTTACTGATGGCACCATGGTTCTTACAGACCTTCCACACAATCTAGTACTACATATAGACCAAAGGTACAATATAACAACAAACTGCAACATACCAGGGGAACCTTGGGGTGTATGCTCAACAAGTTCTACAGATATTGCTGTCACTCTAATAGGAAAACAGATGGTACAGTTAGTATCTATTGGTAAAACAATGGAACTGAAGAACAGTTTTAAAGTTGGAATGCCATGTCGAGGAATATTCTTCAAAGATGGAACTGTGTATGTATGTTGTGGTGGGGGATCCTCCTACTGGCGCTCAGTGATGGAAGGTTCCGGTCAAATCCGTGTCTACACTCTACAAGGTGCACTTCTTAAAACATTTCAAAATGATGATACAGGAAAAAGCATATTTGGACGCCCAAGGGATATTGTTCTAAACCCAGAAAATAATCAATTCTACATCACAGATGAGAAAAATGGAGTTGTTGTTATCAGAGGATCAGGAGAAAAGGTAGCCGGAATTACGGATAAAAATCTTATAGCAGCACGTGGAATAACCTTCGACACCAGGGGGCAAATGTTTATTGGCTGCATAAAATCCAACCAAGTTCTACTTTTTGATCGTGACGGACATTTTATACACATTCCAATAACAAAAGATATGGCTGTATCATCAATAAGGTCCTTATGTTTTATGGCAGATAGTCATAGGCTTGTTATTACAAGTCATGGTGATAAAATTCATGTGCTTGACTTGGCACGTAGGTGGTAGATCACAAAGTAAAATTCATGTGCTTGACTTGGCACGGAGGTGGTAGATCACAAAGTAAAATTCATGTGTTTGACTTGGCACGGAGGTGGTAGATCACAAAGTAAAATTCATGTGTTTGACTTGGCACGGAGGTGGTAGATCACAAAGTAAAATTTATGTTTGACTTGGCATAATGAAGCTGACATATATTTTCATGTTCACTAAGTCTCTGTTTGTATTTGTTCAATTTTAATGGCTTATAAATTTTGCTTGCTTGAACTGATCAAAGGTAAAACAGATTTCCTGAGGCACATTTAAGGTATCTAAATGAAAAGGAAGGAGAAATGCTTTACTGACACCTTTTGCTGAAATAATCTCAGACATACATGTAGACATGGGGATTATAACTTCACACAAATAAAACATGTTAATGTAACAGAAATGTTTGGAATTGTAATAAATAGTTAATAATATATCTAAAAATAAGTGTGACAAAATTGTTAGGAAAAAAGAGGTCCATGATGAAAGAGAACTCTTCAACATACTGCACACCCCTGAATAAACATTCCCTGCATACTCCTGAATAAATATTTCCTGCATACCCCTGACTAACATTCCCTACATATCCCTGAATAAACATTCCCTACATACCCATGAATAAACATTCCCTACACTTCCCTGAATAAATATTCCCTAAACTTCCCTGAATAAACATTCCCTACATACCCCTGAATTAACATTCCCTGCATATCCCTGAATAAACATTCCCTGCATATCCCTGAATAAACATTCCCTACACTTCCCTGAATAAATATTCTCTAAACTTCCCTGAATAAACATTTTCTACATATCCCTGAATAAATATTTCCTGCATATCCCTTAACGAACATTCCCTGCACTTCCCTGAATAAATATTCACAACACTACCCTGAATAGATATTCCCTAAACTTCCCTAAATAAACACTCCCTACATACCCCTGAATTAACATTCCCTACAATTCCCTGAATAAAAAATCCCTGCGCTTCCCTGAAAAAAACATTCCCTGCACTTCCCTTAATAAACATTCCTTACATATCCCTGAAAACATTCCTTACATATCCCTGAAAAAACATTCCCTGCACTTCCCTTTACAAAAACTCCCTGCATATCCCTGATAAACATTCCCTGCATACCTATGAATAACATTCCCTGCACTCCCAACATAAGTAATCATTTACCTGAAGAAATACTGTTATTTGTGTAAGGGCCAATTTTAACAACAGGGGCAAACTTTAAACACCTATGGGAGAGGACCTACAGATGATATTACATTGCAAATATCTAAGCTCTAAGCACTTTACTTTATACATAAAAGGAAAACCTATGACCCACAGGGACAGGGCTATAATTTGAACAATCTTGGTAGAGTTCCACTACACAATGTATCATGCCAAATATCTAGCCTCTGCCTTTGTCAATTTAGAGGAGGTTTTTTAAGTTTTTACAATATTATATACTTTAAAGAAAAACTTATGACCTCCAGGCCTATTTTGACAATCAGGGGCAAAATTTGAACAACTTTTGTAGAAGACATATAGATGATATTACAAACCAAATATCTATACCTTCAGAAAAGAAGATTTTTCAAGTTTAACTATAAACAAACAAACTTGGTAGGCACTCACTAGAAAATGTTAAGCTATTAATCTCTAAGTTCTAGCTCTGGGGTTTTTAAAAGAAGACTTTTTAAGTTATTACTATATAGATAATGAAAATTAATGACCCCTCCCCCTTGGGACTGGGCCAATTTTTGACCCCAGGGCTTTTATTTGAACAAACTTGTTAGACACTTACTAGAAGATGTTTCATGCCAAATATTTAAGCTCTAGCTGTTTGGGTTTTTTAAAAGGAGATTTTTTAAAAAATTGTCTTTCTGTTGCCATGGCAACCAGAGCTCTTCATTGAATTAATTCTTTGAACAATTTTCAAAGGTGACCACCAAAAAAATCACTCCTGTGAAGTTTGGATGAAATTGGCTTATGTGAAGATGTCGTTTTCATTTGTGACAGGCGATTTAAAAATACACTCAAAATTAAAGTTCATTTCCTACATACATACACACAATAATGTGAATAATGTTAATGAAGGTAATTGTGAGCATGACTTTTTGACCTAAAATTACCAAATGAAGCAGGTGTATTAGTATTAAACCAAATGCCAGCGAGTTGTTCATGGCAAAAGCTTAATGTTCTTCAAAGAGTATAGCCAAAATGTGAAAACTCACAAGGTCAATTTGATTAAATCTGTTCAAGGAAAAACACGAAAGGTGAAACATCTAATTCCCCACCCCCCAGTACCAATAGACCAATTTAACATATTCTGGCAATTAAGCTTCATTTCAGATAGTCGAGCAAATTAATAAAGAGAAACATACCTAAAATTTTCTTCAGTGATTCAACTGTTACTTCTTCACCATATTTCTTCTGTAAATACAGTTAGAAATATCAAGAATTAAATATAAATCTCAAATAGTGTATACGTTATTGTAGACTGGAAAATATTCAACTAATTTTTATTCATGCTAATACTCACCAATTGAATATGTTATCCACTATGCCATTAGTTTGAAAAAAAAAAAGGAAATGTCTTAGTACTATTGGACACTTCATAGTAATTACTGAAAATACCACATTTATGATTTGCCGAAGAAGTCAAGGTTTTGAGAAAAATTCCCCAATCTACAGTATATAACCATGTCTCACTGAGGAAGAAACAAGTTAAATTATATATGACAATAAACACAGATCTGATCTACAAACAAAACAAAACAAGATATGCTTTAAACAACATAATTTTATATGCCCCCCTACCTGCAGACATTAGTCATTTGGCCAGGTTATTGTGACTGACTTTTGACCTAGTCACCAAAAAATCTATAGGGTTTATCTACTGGTCATGACTAGCCACTAGGTCATTGTGGCCCTTAAGGTTGTGTGCAGCAATTCTATGACAAAGTTATCACAAATGTTACCAAATAATATATATTCATAGACTTTATGAACATGTAGGCCTCCTAAATGACAGCCAATTTAATATATTACATTAGACCTTGAAATGTGTACATCAAAAGCACTTTTAATTTAATAGCAATATCAACCAAGGCAACCTGAATTGCTGAGTTAATTAATGGTCAGAAACTGTTTTTACATACAAGGTAAATGTGACTTTGACTTTTGACCCTTTAATCAAATGGGTTATCTACTGGCCAAAACCATTGCACTTGTGAAGTTTGAAGGTAAAGGGCCCATGAATTGTTGAGATATTGATAAGAAACAGTTTTTTTATCTATAAGATCCATGCAATCTTGACCTTTAACCCCTTGACCCTAAAAATCTATTTTGGTCATCTTCTGGCCAAAAGCAATACAATTGTGAAGTTTGAAGGTCAAGAGTCCATGGGTTGTTGTGTTATTGATAGGAAACTGTTTTTGCATTCAAGGTCAATGTGACCTTAACTTTTGACCCCCTGAACCCAAAATCATTATAATCATCTACTTGCCAAGACCAATGCACCTATGAAATTTGAGGGCCAACAGCCCATGGGTTGTCAAGTTATTGATCCAAAACCGCTTTTACCTACAAGGTCAATGTGACCTTGACCTTTAACCCCTTGACCCACAAATCAATAGGGGTCATCTACTGGTCATGAACAATTCCAATACCAAGTTTGAAGTTCCTAGGCCTTAGTGTTCTTTAGTTATTGATCAGAAACCATTTGGTCTATGTACTGACAATGACAAATGCAAAGCTATTTACCCCACATCTTTAAAGGGTGGGCATAACTAAAAGAACTGGATAATATTACAAGGATTAACTTAAAGTTAATGTCACTTATAATTTATGAAGTGACTTCATCCAGGAATACATTGATAATTCTCAGAAATAACCGGAGTGTATAATAATGTCTTGTTATCTTACCCTTGGCTGTACAGGTGATCCCTCTGCACTCTCAAACTCGAGGTTGATGGAGTTAATATCACTCATACTTCTACTACCATCTACTTCTGTAAACCCTCAAATATAAAACAATTCTAAAAGCAAAGATCACTGTGCCTTTGACATTTTAACATGAGTATGGCTAGTAGCACTCATCAAGGTGTATGTACACAAGTACAATGTTTATACTTCCTAGATCAATTCACTTCTATATAATTAGCCAGTTAATAGTTATTACTAGTCTAGTGACCATGAACATTGAACTGAAAATAGTTGTGGCACTTAAGATGAATCCACATATTGAATTCAACACTGACATTGGTCATGACAATAGCTCAAATTATTTTAATGTAAGTTAAATAAATGAATCATAGTGTTCCATTTAACAAATAAGTATTAAGATGTCAAATTAAATGTGGTCGAAAACAACACACAACATTTTGTTTATCCAATAAAAATATTAATTATATGCAGTCTAACATATTTCAAATTTTATAAGTAGCAGCAAGCTGAAGTTGACAAATTGTAACATATATTTAAACTGTTGATAATTACCAAATGGTTTCTGTGTAAATGGTGAAGTGAGTCTCGTGAGATCAGAGAATTCACTAGATAACATCTCAGATATGATTTCTACCTGGAACAGCCATTTGTCCTTCAATGTTTCTGTCTGTGGATAACTGTAAATTATAACTTGTATCATTAGTCTTTATAATATCATACTGTATGTATGTACTTACCATGTTTATATTTAATGTATATATATACAATGTACTGAACGCTATAGTGCAATAGTATACGTTTTTTAGCTTCTGAGTGTCATACAGGTCACATCCTGGGAGAATTAAATAAAAAACTTTATCAAAGCTATTTGACTATTCTAAAAGTTGAATTATCATTTTTGTTGTCTTTTATTTGTTGTTGTTGTTACTGTTTCTATTTTAGTATATTTTGTACTTATCTTTGGTTAAGTTTATCCTCTTTTTTAAGCTGTATCATTCAATAAAAATATCTCGAATTCAATCGAATCAAAAGAATCATTTCAACTTAAATCAAATACAATACAAACAAGAGCAGCACACTCAACTATTTTCATTGCTTGTTAATAAAACAAGACCTGCAGCAGTTTCTTAATGCATGCAAAACTTTAACAAAAGAATTACCAAGTTCAAAAAGGGCTATAATTTGGTCAAAATCCATTCAAGAGTTATGGGTCATGACCTCCAACCATGATCATTAAGGCTTGTATTAAATTTTAAATGAATACCTTCAGTAGTTTCAAAGATTGAGCATAGTATATCTTTAAATATTTCCTCATCTTTTATATGTAAATTCTTACTGTCTATAAAATATTATACAATGATTATGACAGAAATATCTGGTATCCAGATGACATGTTACTATTGTCATTTTTGTTAGTAGGAGTGTGACAACTAAATTCTTCTACAGTGTGTACATGGCATACATACATGTATAAATAAATTCTATGTCTTTATCTAAAACAACTGTTTTTTATAAGCTTGCATATAAAGAATTAAAATTAATGTGACTTGGTTTATAATATACTCATATTTACAATGCCACTACTCTGTAGAGGCGACACAAAAAGAGTGGATATGTTAAGCAGATTTGTATTTCATCCTAAAGCTTTTCCATTATCAAATGTTGATCAATCTCCATCAATACCGTAATTCTTCAGAAATATGCATGTAAATTGTAAATTCAGCTTTACTTCACAAGGCAAAAATGAGCAAACTGTCACTTTAACATGCAACTAGTTACTTGCATTTGTGATACAACCATAACATGAATTTTAAAGGTTCAATGTAAGACAGTGTACCATGTAAAACATCAATGTTTCATTTAGAAATTTCATATGCTAATGTAACTTAAAAAACTTATACCACTAATGAAACTGTAATGTTATAAAGTTTAAAAAGTCGAACAAGTCTTTTATAATTATAAACAATATGATGTATGTGGGTACTTGTTGAAAACAATGCTTCAGGCAATATACAAAATATACTTCTAGATGTACATTAGTTTTGTTATGAAATAGTATATGGAAAATCAAATTTTATAAAAGAGCATGCTTTACAATATTATTGTACAGATACAGAAATGTCATAATTTAACATCAGGGATTATCTGAACTAATGGTAGTATTGGATTTACAATATTGAAATAGATGAACAGTTTAGTGGCTTCTAAGGTTGCTGGTAAACATTGAGATTTTATAATATAGGGCTTGGTCATAATCTAATGTCACAACATCATGTAACAGGGATTGACCAAGTCAAACACAGAATTTTTTTTCCAGGGGCATCTGTTAAATGTCCAACAGTGATAAAATGTACAGGTTTATTCCATAGTAACTATAGCACCCAACAAAACATAACATATACCAAACCTGTGCCAATAATCAAACAAGAAGATATTGAACTATTACACTTTCCAGCAAAGACTGAGGCCATGATCATATATACATATGTACAAGAACAATGCCTACTACCAATAATCAATTATGAATTGTGTGCCAGAATATTTTTAATGTAATAACATTTCTGTTTTTTCACTTTCTAATCTGATTATATGACTTGAAAAATTAATGATTTTAAAGCAGCATAAAAAATGGGACAAAATCAAACCTTCAAACAAATTGACTTAATCTAGCCAAAGACACCTCATATTTACTGAAATCATCAAAAGGCCATACTTCCTTAGTACAAGGCCAGAAATATCTTAATAAAATAAAATATTTTGTCAAAGATTTAGACTGATTTTACATTTCTTAAATTATAATGATAATTCTAGTATTTGAAAATGTGTTAACACATCTGGAGGCATAACTGGAGGCACAAAGTTAAAACCCTATTTTCATGAATATAAAGTTTATGTTACCCTGTAAGTAAAAAACTGTTTGACAAATAGATCTAACTAAATGCACAATATTTTAGTAAATGCATATAAATGATTTTAACATATATAAAAATCTAGCATCAATGTTTTATTTTTTATTAATCTATATAGATTATAAAATTGTAATATACTATTTAATTGTAATGGAATGTAAGAAGCCCCTTTTATATTTATAAATTAACATATGTGACAAGGTACTGAATTAGTTTTAAAAAACATCTTATAAATAACATAAACATTTGAATCATGTACACAAAAACATTAACCATAAAATATGAAATAAAATTAACTGTGACCTGTGAGCAGCATGTTTCATGCATTATTTAACTCTAATAAATAAAACAAAAGCATGCATCTCTGATAAAATCTATCAAGACAGTAAATAATGCAATAACAAGAAGGTAAACTATGACAAAATACTCACTGTATTGTAGGGTAATCAGTTAGTGGTGTCACATCAAGGTCAGAATGACTGTAGGGTAGTACAATTGTTATGTCATAGCAAGTTTAACTTATTGTGTATTTGTTTATTGTTTATTTTCACCAGTATCAAAGCATTATTTTTGTATACATTATTTTTTACATCAAGGATTAACTGGGATCAACCAAACAGTTATTGACTTTAAGTTACTGGCTGCCAACCAACAGTGTACTGATATACTGCTCACTAGCCATAGTAAAGTTAACAGTACAATAAGTTACCAGAATTGTACTACAGTACTTTCCCAGTTAACTGACCAAAGGAGTGTTACAAACATTGCCATCTGTGGCAATAAAATTTAAACATGGTTTTGTATCAAGCCTATTTTGCAGAATGACTGTACAAGTAATAATGTTCCTCAGCTACTCACACTTCTTATGAATTGAATATTGAAAAACAATCTATATTACATTAGTTTCTGAATATATGTACTGTGATAGATAATGCATCATGTGCCATGTATTGTGTTTTATGATGTATTTACTGTGATAGATAATGCATCATGTGCCATGTATTGTGTTTTATGATGTATTTACTGTGGTAGATAATGCATCATGTGCCATGTATTGTGTTTTATGATGTATTTACTGTGATAGATAATGCATCATGTGCCATGTATTATGTTTTATGATATATTTACTGTGATAGATAATGCATCATGTGCCATGTATTGTGTTTTATGATGTATTTACTGTGATAGATAATGCATCATGTGCCATGTATTGTGTTTTATGATGTATTTACTGTGATAGATAATGCATCATGTGCCATGTATTGTGTTTTATGATGTATTTACTGTGGTAGATAATGCATCATGTGCCATGTATTGTGTTTTATGATGTAGAATGTGTCATCATATCAACATGTGTTTATTGCCAACAAATAGGTAATTTATTTTAAATAAAATAATAACTTTTAGACCACTGATAGAAATACCAACTTAATAATCAAGCTAAACCAAGCACCTTATACCATTTCAATAAAAGTAAAAGTAAACTGTTCCACATTGTTCAATAGGTAAAAAACAACAATATAACCAATAATTTGTTCCACATTGTTCAATAGGTAAAAAACAACAATATAACCAATAATTTGTTCCAAATTGTTCAATAGGTAAAAAACAACAATATAACCAATAATTCACAAACTCATTGGAAGAAAATTCAATATTTTAAATGTGGTACATGCTAAATATCAAATTTAATTACCGTGGTCTGTGATGAGAAACAAAAACATAACAATAAAACAAGAAGCTGATTCAAAATGATTCATAACAATAAAAATGAGTTTTAATATTTCAACAGTATTACTTTTGATTATATAAAGATAAATAACTTGTTACTCTAAGATAAGTTGTTACTCCAAAACTGCTGTAAAGGAATATTCTGTTAGACTGAGGAAGAAATTTTAACCATTGTTGAAAAATATCAACACAGTGGTATATTTCTGTATATATATGAAAGGAAGAAAGTCATAAGCAGGAAAACAAACATAGTAAAGTAACACAAACAATTTCCCAGGTGTTGCAAGGGTTCAAACCACTGGTCACACAACAATAATTTTAGACTTTTTATGTATGAAGAAATTTTGTTCTGGACTGACGTCTTTTGTAACCTTGACCTTTGACCTAGAGACCGGGTTCATGCATGAGACTATACTTCTTATGAAGGTGATCATTATTTTGCAGCAAGTAAAACTAAAATTCATCCATGCACGTAGAAGACATGCTACCAACAAAATCTAGACATTTCACCATCTTTGGTGACCTTGCATATATTGACCTGGACTATCCTGGTAACAGTCTCATTGTGAACATTTGGGAATTTCAGGTTACCAAAATTTCCATACATGTATTTTATCTGATTTTTGACCTCTCCGTTGACTTTGACCTCTGCTGTAGAGACCTAAATTTTGTAAGCCACAAAGGGCCACACAATGGTGAACATTAGTAATTGTGACAAGTTATATAAGATCATAAAATGCATGTAAAAGTTTAATTCTGGACAAGTGTTTGAATCTGGCCTATAAATTTGACATTGACCTCTGACTTAGAGACCTGGTAGAGAACAATGTCTCATAGTGGTGACCATTTGTATCAAGTTATATGAAAATCCCTCTGAGCATGAAGAAGATTATGCTCCAGATAAAACACTACCTAAATGATGTCTGCCTACCCTTACATCTGCATGTGGCATTCTTTTATAGGTACAAGTTTGTTTGCAAATGGGCACATAAAAACCTGAACCTAGAAATTGAATGGTTTGTTATGGTGTAGTTTTATTTAAAAAACAAGAACGTGTTTGTTAAACACAAATGACCCCAGCTCAGATTCTTGTCAGTAGCAATATTTCAAAAAATGTTTACCTATTCACTCAGTTATGGACAGAAAAATTGCCAAAAAATTGTGAACACAAGTTATACAGCTTGACAAAGTCATGGCATTTTGTAATTGTGAAAAATATAAGTTGCAAAGTCATTGCTCTGACTTGTGAAGTTGAAAAATATTCAACTTCATGCAAGTTATCTTCCTACCAAATATGAAATACATCTGTCATTAAATAAAGGCTGTATGGGCAAAAGTGTAAACATCTATTTTGAGCACTGGTGACCTTGACCAAACTGACCCCTAACTCTATCCAAAAGAAGAATACCATGTAAGTTATATTCCTACCAAATATGAAATACATCTGTCAATAAATAAAGGCTGTATGGGCAAAAGTGTAAATATCTATTTTTAGCACTGGTGACCTTGACCCAACTGACCCCTTACAAAGGAAGAATACCATGCAAGTTATCTTCCTACCAAATATGAAATACATCTGTCAATAAATAAAGGCTGTATGGGCAAAAGTGTAAAAATCTATTTTTAGCACAAGTGACCTTGACCCACTGATCCCTACCCCAATCAAAAGGATGAATACTATCCTACCAAATATTAAATATATCTGTCACTTAATAAAGGCTGTATGAGCAAATGTGTAAAAATCTATTTTAGCACTGGTGACCTTGACCCAACTGACCACTAACTCCATCAAAGTTTATGTTTCTATCAATTACAAATAACATCTGTCTATAGAATAATGTCAATACACCTGTAAAAATCTATTTTTAACATTGGTGACCTTGACATTGGTAACATTGACCTTGACCCAAATGACCCCTTACTACACCCAAAAAAAGGAGGACCTCCCTTGGCATGTTTGTATTAAACTAAGACATCAACTAAAAATTAAAGGCTGTATGAGCAAAAATGTTTATATTTATTTTTTAAACCAGTGACCTTGACCTTGACCCTAGAGACCACTTACTCCACAAAAAATTAGAGGACCATCAAAGGTATCCACCTACTAAATATGAAAGATATCATTAAAGAAATTAAGCAGTTAGGAGAAAATTTAAGATAAATCCAACTTGCCGAAATAGGTTAACCAGACAAGGCCCTATTTTCAAAGTGAAAAAAGGGAAATAACTGGCATATGGATGACACAGTTATAACTTGGCAATATCATGTACTTTGTATTGATAAGTAAGTGTGGAAATTATAAAGCCATTAGTATAGATAGAACTTAAGATATTTCTAACTTGCCATTTTAGGTTAGCCATTATTCATTTTCTAAGTGCTAAAAAGGGCAATAACTTGGTAAATATGAAAGCCAGAGTTATGTAACTTGCCCAGATCATGTACTTTGTATTGATTAGTAAGTGTGTAAACTTAGAAGCCATTGGTACAGGTAGAACTTAAGAAAAATCCAACTTGCTGTTCTAGGTTAACCTCGTACAGACAGTCGGACGGACGGTTCAATTACTATATGCCCGGGGGCATAAAAAAAACAGCAGCTAAATTGATTTTTTGATAGAGATATGCAAATAGGAGAGAAAGTATAGCTGTGAGTATATGACACCATCTCCACTTATATACAATATGTACATCTAAATACAGAATGTTATACAAACATATAGAATAAAATTTGTTTGAGAATGATGTATAAATATAGTGGACATATTCTGTTCTTAATTTACAAGATAATTACCTTGCAGGTCTATTATTTCTGTTGAAGGCAAACTCCGGTAATAGGTGTGAAGCTTCTTTTTTCCTCCATTCTAAAACCTAAATAATCATACAATAAACATGAATAGACTTACACTCTAATGAATTCTTATGAACAATGGCATTGAAATATATTCATGAATATGTACTTTATGGTTTATTTTAACACGACCCGCATTTTTCACTATTTAAAAATAGAAGAACCAAAAGTGTGTGTTCGCGAGCTCAAAAAAAAACGATTCTGATGTCACTGATCTTAACGGCGAGCAGCATAAAAAATTCAAGAAACTATGCCAGAAATACGGCGTATAGACTTTGCCGCTAATCTTGGTTGTCACCCTTTCTAAGAAACGAACAGTTGTTGGTGTAAACAAATATTTGTCATTCGGTTTAACCCTCCGACTAACTTACAAAACAAGATAACACAAAATGAATATGAGAAAAAGTTGTTTTATTGATGTTTGTATTGATAAATGCTCTTTATATTTCTTTGAGAGAATAATGTTAAGTGCCTGATATTCTTTTATAAACTTGTGTGCTCAAAAAAAAACGATTCTGATGTCACTGATCTTTTTTCTACCGTCAATCTGAAATCATTCTAGGAATTTCTGAGGGTCAGGCTTTGTTTTGGGTAGAGTAATTTAATGTTTTTTTCTTGAGTTAATAAGTCTCCTATGTTAAGCTTTGTTAAATCAATTAAAATTCGAATTTTCGAACGGTTCTGAGCATTTGTATTTCCCAAGTTGTTGGCCCTGGAAAAACAAGCAATTATCATAGTATTGCAAGCAATCCATAAGTCCCCTACCGGTTAGAAGCCCAGCAACATTCTGATTTCAATTTTACCAGTGAATGAATGACATGAATGAATTTAAATCTTTTGAGTTCTAAGTTTGTCTATTTCACAGTAATGTGTTAAGTTTCCCTGCCTTGTAAGGAAATTATGTTTATACAACCTTGTCATATTATTACGATGTGGGATTTTAAAGTAAATCCTATAAGGAATGAAGAAGTTGGAGTAAAAAATACCAATTTCTCGAAAAAAATTTAAGTTCAAGGGGGACATAATTCTGGAAATAGACTAATAAAACCCATACATAAAACATGTAGAATTGTATTAATACTGTCCAAGCACAAGGATTTAATGTATGTGTTTTGTATTAAATATACATTAATCTTTTTTAACATTTTATGCTATAATAGCGTCAACGCACTTTTATTTTGTGTTATAAAGTCTGCAAAGTCCCTCGGAACTGTTGGAGCCCTCGCCCACTGTTCCTCGGGACTCTGCAGACGTTATAACATGAAAAAACATGCGTTAACCCTATAAAATAATCCGATGCGCTGAAAATAAGTAAGGAAATAAATCAGGCGCAATTTTGCTTAATATCAGGTACAACAGAATTTATTTGTTGATGTTGTGTTAGAATCGAAATAATATATCCCAAACAGTGATTTTATCGCTTGTTAACTTCAATGTTTGTCGTTTGGATGTGCATCATTATATCACTCGGGCTACAACCTCGTGATATAATTCGTCGCATCCGAACTCCAAACAGTGATGTTATTTAGCAATAAAATCACTTTTTGGGATATACTATTTCTTAAATAGCAAGTTGCTTAAGCTTTTATGTATATTGATGCAACCAACCTTATGTATATTAACTTACCTTGTTAGTTTTAGAACTTACCTCTTGTATATAGTAGTGTAACTGTTCTTTTATGATTATGTAACTATGGTAATTTACAGCTTTGGTATTTTGATGTAATTGCTGTAGCTTACCCCTTGTGTATTTTAATGTTACAACTGTAACTGTTCTTTTGTATATAATGATGTAACTGTGGTAATTTGTGTAAGGTATCTGTATACAAGTGGTTAAGATTGTTGACTTCAAACCACTTGCCCCCCACCAATGTAGGTTTGAGCAACACAAGTTTCTTCAGATTCTGTCATGTGAGTAAGCTATGCAGCTAGCTTTCAGAATGTGGGTGGTTTTACTCAGGTGCCCATTTGTGCCTGAAATAATGTACAGAGTGGAAGCTTAAGTCTTCTTCCACCAGTAAACCTGAAAGGTAGCCATATGACCTATACTGTGTTGGTGCCATGTAAAACCCTAAAAATAAACAAGAGGGCCGTGATGGCCCTGAGGTCACTCACCTGTATATAGCCCCCCCCGGCCCCCCAACGTTGCAGGGCCAATTTTAACCCAAGGGCTTTTATTTGCACAAACTTGGTAGACACCCATAAGAAGATGTTTCATGCTAAACATCTAAGCTCTAGCTCATTGGGCTTTTTAAAAGAAGATTTTTTTAAGTTTTTACTATACACATATAGTTAAAAACAATGACAACCCTGGGGCCGGGCCAGTTTTGACCCCAGGGCTTTTATTTGAACAAACTTTGTAGACACTTACTAGAAGATGTTTCATGCTTAATATCTAAACTCTAGCTATTTGGGTTTTTTCAAAGAAGATTTTAAGTTTTTGCTATACACATATAAAGAAAATCAATGACCCCCGGGGCGGGACCAATTTTGACCCCAGGTCTTTTATTTGAACAAACTTTGTAGACACTCACAAAAAGATGTTTCATGCTTAATATCTAAACTCTAGCTATTTGGGTTTTTTCAAAGAAGATTTTTTAAGTTTTTGCTATACACATATAAGGAAAATCAATGACCCCCGGGCGGTGCCAATTTTGACCCCAGGGCTTCTATTTGAACAAACTTGCTATTAGATCATGTTTGATGCTAAATATCTTAGCCATAGCTCTTTGAGTCCTTTAAAAGAACATTTTTTAAGTTTTTACTATATGCATATAGGGAAAATCAATGACCCCCGGGGCGGGGCCAATTTTGACCCCAGGGCTTTTATTTGAACAAACTTGGTAGACACTTATTAGAACATGTTTCATGCTCAATATCTTAGCCATAGCTCTTTGGGTTCTTTAAAAGAAGATTTTTTAAGTTTTTACTATATGCATATAGGGAAAATCAATGACCCCCTGGGGCCGGGCCAATTTTGACCCCAGGGCTTTTATTTGAACAAACTTGGTAGATACCTATTAGAACATGTTTCATGCTCAATATCTTAGCCATAGCTCTTTGAGTTCTTTAAAAGAAGATTTTTTAAGTTTTTACTATATGCATATAGGGAAAATCAATGACCCCCTGGGTGGGCCAATTTTGATCCAAGGGCTTTTATTTGAACAAACTTGGTAGACACTTATTAAACATGTTTCATGCTAAATATCTTAGCTCTAGCTCTTTGGGTTCTTTAAAAGAAGATTTTTTAAGTTTTAACTATATGCATATAGGGAAAATCAATGACCCCCTGGGGCGGGGCCAATTTTGACCCAAGGGCTTTTATTTGAACAAACTTGGTAGACACCTATTAGAACATGTTTGATGCTCAATATCTTAGCCATAGCTCTTTGAGTTCTTTAAAAGAAGATTTTTTAAGTTTTTACTATATGCATAGAGGGAAAATCAATGACCCCTCGGGGCGGGGCCAATTTTGACCCCAGGGCTTTTATTTTAACAAACTTGGTAGACACCCATTAGAACATGTTTCATGCTAAATACCTTAGCTCTAGCTCTTTGGGTTCTTTAAAAGAAGATTTTTTAAGTTTTTACTATATGCATATAGGGAAAATCAATGACCCCTCGGGGCGGGGCCAATTTTGACCCCAGGGCTTTCATTTGAACAAACTTGGTAGACACTCACTACAAGATGTTTCATGCCAAATATCTAAGCTCTAGCTATTATGGTTTTTTTTAAGAAGATATTTAAAGTTTTTTCTTTCGGTTGCCATGGCAACCAGAGTTCTGCATGGAATTAAATTCTTTGAACAATTTTTAAAGGTGACCACCAAAGGAACATTCCTGTGAAGTTTGGATGAAATTGGCTTAGTGGTTTATTAGGAGATGTCATTTAAAGTAAAAGTTTACGGACAGACAACGGACGGACGGACAGACGCCGGACGGACGCCGGACGAAAAGCGATCACAAAAGCTCACCCTGTCACTTTGTGACAGGTGAGCTAAAAACACACAAAGAAACCCCCCAAAACTGCTGTATCTTACCTCTTGTGTATATTGATGTAATTGCTGTAACTCGCACACCTGGGCCAGAAAACTCATGAATGCTAGTACAAGGGCATGTATCGCACACTTATGTGTCAATGGCAGGCTTAAATTATTTGTTGCTATATTCTGGAATAAAAGAATATTGAATTATCAATATATAATGACTGTATACTAGTAACTTATACCAGAGCTGACAATAAGGCAGCATGCTTGACTTTTCTCGGTGTTTGATAGTAAAACAAGAGCCTGGATAATGTAGATTTTTCTAAGTTCAAAACAACCATAATTCTGTCAAAAATCTTAACAGTGTCTCCCTATAAGGCTCTCAAATAAGTGTGTGTAGTTTCAACCAATTCCCTTCTGTAGTTTTGGATAAACTAACTTGAACGCAAAAACTCTACCAAAGTTTGATTTTCCAATGCCTTGTTGAGTATTATAGTTTTCCCTTACATTTAGTTACATGTATTTTGTGTTAAAGCAGAGAAGAAATTATCTTTCTTAATCAGCCATACCTATTATCAAACTGAAAGTGTTTACCTTTTGCTTTTTTTTTGCTGGAAGAAAAAGCCAACATATTTTTGTATATGAACCGAGTTCATTAACTTGCATTGACGATATCAATATACAGCTTATATTATCCTTCACGTCTTATATTTCTGTGTATGACCTAGATCTTTAACAATATCTTAATTATTTTCTTGTAAGAACAGAAAATTCACAAGAACTATGTCCACTAGTAATTTAACAACAAATACTTCAACAACTAGATGATGATACACTAATTGTCATATACAGTGGGATCATCTTAAACTTTGAACATACAAGTATTTGTATAAAAAACTGAACAATCTACAACAATCAAGACTCCTATGTTAACCCTCATATATAAACTAAAGGAATAACCCTCATATAAACTAAAGGAAAAACCCTCATATAAACTAAAGGAAGATTTGTTGTAACTGATGACTAGTGCAATAGATATACAGGTATGTGTTCCTATTTAACAACTGTAATATTTAATATCTATGTAACATGTTGCATTATAACCAAAGTAAGGGATAATGTGAATGGTATAAGCCAGATATTGCACAGTGGAGCAGGGTTATAATTATTGTTATTGCATTGCTGTATATACCATTTCTTTGAGCATATCACCAGCAGTTTCAAACTCCTTCTCTTTGCTAACTATAAAGTCCTGGATCATATAGAATAAAACAAATCAGTAAAGCATGATCATCATGAGACATGCCTCAAATAACCAAAACACTTGATAATTTGATATCTAAAGATAGCTGGCTATATCTCTGAGACTCTGAAGACATATTTTCTCTGATAAAATAATAATCATATTGATTATGAAATAGAATACTTTATTACATTGAAAGAGAAAAATTTACTTTTTTTCATTTCTTCAATAACTTAATTACACCTTCACCCTTTGATAGTGAACAAATATTTCAATTCTGAAGTAAATAACTGTGATGGTTTTGAGAAAAAGGCAAATATTCTAAAACTTAAAAGGGGAAAAATTAAAACAAAAAATACTTTTAGAATTTTCTGCCCCTTAGAAATTAATTTCACATTCTAACTCACGTGATTTTGTCACTATAGACAAAGAAGGAAAAAAACTGGTGTTAAACTGTCAATAAACACCGGTAAGGGACTACTTGTATATGCGCTATTATGTTTTCTCCGAAATAATCAAAAATTATCAAAAATAATTTTTCAATTAGAGTAGAGACCAAGCAGGAAACTTGTTTTAAAAATATTTTACCCTAATTATGCTTATGATACTATATGACCTCCGAAGTTTCACTTAAAACTTAAATGTGTTTTCCAATAAAAGTCTATATAAATAAAGTAATCCCTGGGCCAGAGCCAATTTTGATCTCTGGAAGCCCAAACCTGTATTCTGCACACCGTCTCATTATAAGTAATATTTCTGCCAAAAAAGATATTTGTTCAAAATATACAGAGTGGACACAAAATTTTTAAACTGAAAGTGTGACCTTGACCTTTGGAAAGTCAAACCTGTGCTCTGCACATTGTCTCATTATGGTTAACTTTTCTGCCAAGTAATTTCAACTTCCTTCAACAGGCTCAAACGGTACAGACCGGACATGAAACCTGATAACAGAGGGACAGACAACCAGGTACGTAACATTATATGCTAACATTATTTCAGGTGTATTATAAACAGGGAACAACTTATCTTCCCTTTTGCAATGGTGTCTCATTTTGTTATATCTAACATGTATTTCATGTTTGAAATTGATATAACTATTTTTTTCTGAAAAATCGACCTCAACAAAAAAGTTAAGTAGGACCAAAATCTTAGCTGTAAAAGGGGCATACATTCTCAAAATTTTAAGATTATCTGCCTTTTACAAATGGTGTCATTTTCATGATAATAAACATGTATAAAGGGATTGATTATTATATGAAAATGGGTCTTAACAAAAAGGTTAACCATAGTCAGCACCAACAGCAAGAGTGACATCAGATTATAGCTCCACTATTTTTCTTCAAAAAAATGGAATTAAAAACTAAAATCTGGCTGACAAATTTGTTAAATGATAGATAACTTTAACTGAAGTCTGGCCCAAACTTTCATTAGATTTTTAATGAAGTTCAATTTTATTTACTAAAACTTGTACATTATTTATTATTTATCCAACTTAATCTATCTAAAAGATTTGGAAATGATACTAATTTGAAACTACAAGTCATCATTTCTGAGCTAAAAGACTGTTATAGTGAAACAGTAAAGTTGAGCTAGTATATTGTATATCACACATGTTGGCTTGATTATATATTGACTGTCTGTCAACATTACAGGTAGTGATGAGAGAGTTAACAAATAGTTCATTATAACTGTGAGAAGAAATGTTACCTGCATGTCAAGAGCTAGCCTGATAAGCTCTAGTACAATCTCTTTTGTTGTCATCTCTACACAGATCAATGCCATCGTACAATACAGAGCCTCAAAGTTGTCTACCTTGTTACTTTCTAACTTTATATTCTCCAACAAATACCAGTAAAACTGCATACCATACTGTAGAACAAATACATCACAATGCCAATATATTTATTGTACATTGTAAAATACCAAACCATTATGTTTATCAATAGTTTGTTAAATAATACACCAAACTACATTATCAACATATTGTAATTCTTCACCATAAAATTTATGTAAACAAAATAAGTAATCAAACATAATGTTAAAGTCTGTACTGTATAACAAACATTGTAAAATTATAAACCAATACTGTTCATAAAATACACATCAAAACCTGTACTTTATTATCAAACATATACATGATAAATTTTGAATAATCCTGTTCATTAAGTGTAACTGTAGCATTATTTTTAGGCATTAATTTATACTTCCAATTGAACAATAAAACAATATTTTTTTTTCGAGTTGCTGTATCCCAAGAAAATGTGGAACGAAGATGTAAAATAATCATTTGAAACTTCCTGTCCAAGACTAATGGGGCACAACTCTTACATAAAGAAATACAAACTCCTCACAGTGATTACCTCCCTTTGCAGAATTGTAATCACTGCCTTCAAAGACGTCACATGATGATGATGATGTAAATATCGACCGTTACATAGAAAATCTAAAGTCATTTTTCTCTTTCTGTTTTATTTTTAACTTTTAGTGCCTACGATCGATATAGTTTATCAAAAAATTATCAAAAGTATACAAAATAACGAAAAATAAATTCAAAAGCTAAAAAATATAAAATATCAAAATATTGTCTCGGTAGAAAATATTCTCATATTTTTTAAAATTATTTCTAAATATTCATATTATTTATTTATTTATCCATAAACATTGTTTAATCAATGAGAAAAACTTAAGTAATAGATAAAAGCAGTAAATAAAACAATTTTTGAAAAAATATAGTATATCAGAAATTCTGATATATTGGGACCTTGGTGGCAGAGATCTACGCCGAAGAATTAAGGGGAGATCACTGTGTGGAGATTGAAAGAAATATTGTTCACAGAACATATTAATCTCCCTTTGTCAAAGGCTATATTATTATAAGAAATAACAAAATGATATATAATATAAGGGAACATTAAAACATATTGTAGCAAATCCTGCCTACCTTCTTCATAAATAGTGCATCTGCTCCTTTACATTTCTCTACCTTAAACCCAGCTTTAGATATGTCTTTACAAACTCTGAAACAAAATTAAAAATCTTGCTACAATCATACACTGGTAATATGTCCTTTGTTACAATTCTGTTTTTCTTGTCAGGGAACAAAAATTTAAAGTAGAAAATAATATTTATATTTATCTTCTTACATGTGGTACACTGCTTTACTTGGCAAATATGTCACTTTTACTCACTTCTTTAAAGTAACACAATTTATAAAATAATGAACGGATGGATGTTCATGGCGAGAGGGTTCAAATTGAGACAAAGACTTTTCAAATGCGCATCTTCGTAGAACCATTGTTGTTCTGTAAGCTAGCTTACAGAACAACAATGGTTCTACTCAGATGGGCATTTGTGCCTGAAATAATGTATGGAAGGGCACCAAAGGTTTTCCTCCACCAGTAAAGCTGGAAAGTTGCCATATGACCTATACTGTGTTATGACTTATATCCTACAACAAAAATTAAATGAATAATGAGCTTGACTTCTGTTACTGGGTGTAAATTTTGTACTGAATTAAATTCTATACTGTATTTTAAATGACA